CTCTTATAGAAATGGAATTAAGTTAAAAATCAACAAAAAGAAGATATCTAGAAAAGATATCTATTGTTAAATTTATCCCTAAATGTTTTATTGTTTTGATGCTATTGCGAATGAAATTGTTCCCTCAATTTCATTTTTGAATTATTCGCTGCAAGTGTATAGAAATAGAATTGATCATTTGGCATTGATTTGTGTGCTCCCACCTTGCTGAATTCTTTGATCAGCTCCAAGACACCCCGCAGATGTCTGAAACCATGAGTAGTACCAATGCCTATTTACACCCTTGTTTCCTGTACATACATGTACATACTATGTGCCTGTAAACTATGATAGTTTAATTTTGTAAATTAGGCACAGTAAGAGATTAACAATAACTAATAGGACAATTATAACAATATACTATAATACAAGTTATGTGAATGTGGTCTCGCTCTCAAAATATCTAGTTGACTGTATTCACCCTTCTGGTCACGATGTGAGGTGATCTAATTCCTACGTAATGAGACGAAGTGAAATGAATGACGTAGGCATTGTGATGTAACACCTGGCTACTGCTGACCTCCTGCCATACGAACGAGCACTTCATGCCTTCTCTGTGGCATGTCCAAATTGCCAGCATCACTACTCTTGCACTCTGGGGCCATTATTAAGTAAAGAAAGGGTCCCTTGAACACAAGCGCTGCGGTATCTCCACCAAGGTCAACGGGGAGCGTCCGTCTGCAGCGTGGAGAGACGCGGGAGAAAGGGATGTCGTGTCCCAGGCCTCGCGAGATTTCATCACAGCTACTCAGAGTGGTGCACAATTTAAAACATCAAAATTATTACTGTATTTTTCCACTTAATATTTTGAACCACGCTTGACTGTGGGTAACTGAAACTGTGGAAAGTGAAACTCTGAATCGGGAGAGACTACTGTACTCAAAAACCCAGAAGAGCAGATTTTAACAGCTTATGTGTTTAGTCCTGCCCTTACAAAATTAGAAATCTCATCACTAAGGAACCTAAGTGACATATCAGGGATTCCAATGGAGGAGTCACCTTCCACTTCAAAGCAGTGGTTCACATTCTCTCATATGGACTGTTGCCATCGGTTTCCGTGCCTTGTTAATCGTCATGTAAAGTCATGTTCAACAGTAGACTATGAAAGCTTCTAAATTTCTTTGCCAGAGAGATTTCAAAATCCTTCTGTGTGCTGATCCCCCTTCAACCAAAAGAATGGTAACAGGATCAATGGTTCTTATCACTAAGGTCGACAGACTCTTTCAACTTGAAGGACAATTGGATAGTCCTACTAAATTCCATCCCTACATGCGTTAACTATTCCCTCTTGAATTCATTTACCACTTTTTACCAGCTTCTCCTCTTCTTTCTTCTACATTCCTGCTCAAGCTCTGCTTTTCCGACCTCTCTTCTGCTAACTCCTTAGTATTTACTAGTGTCCTCTGGTCTTTGTGCCTTAGTTTCCTTTCCCCCTTTCTGTTCTCACTAGCTGCTCCCATTCATACACCAGTTGCAAATTCATCACCCAAATGACTGCTGGCTCCCCACTTCTGGCCCTAAGCTCTAAAATCCAGGCAATGGTTCCAAAACCACATTCAGTTTCTCCCAACTTGATTTTCCTAAGGACCAACATTCCTACTTCCAACTGTGAGACACTTGAGTGATTAGACTCCTCTCTCCAGCTCCCTCTTCCCATAAATTAAGGAGAGTCTGCTCTTTCTCATGGCAGGAGGGACTTCATGATATGGTTTCTATTTGCTCTTCCAGCTTCGTCCCCTCCCTCACCTAGGAAACCCCTTGAACTCTCATTCTGTGTACACACCATACACTTCTCTTTGCTGCTAAATTCTCTTCTTTGCCTTGCTTAATTGCAAATTCCTACAATCTCGCAGACTTGCCTTAAGCATCTCCTCTTGAAACCTGAGATTTGTTCAGTACTGTGTTTATTGTTGATAGAGATCTGAATAACTTCGGTTTGGTACAGTGGACAAATTACTGCTCATAAGCAGGTTCAGTAAATAAGACAACAATGTAGTTTGCTACATACCAGGATGAAGCCACCACTGTGAAATACCCACAGCGTGCATATGGCAACAGAGAAGGCATAGAGTGATTGTTACCTCTACGAGTTTTGTTTGGATTGAGCCTTGCAGATACATAGGAATTTGTTGGGTGGACAGGTAGGTGGAAGGCATTAGCTATCAGGGTACATTCTAGGAACTGCTAGTACAGTGCCAGACACCAAGGAAATGGTGAGGGAGGAATCAGATCATGAAGACCAGAAAAGGGAAGGTAACTAGCGGCCATGGAAGGATACATTAGAGACCAGGTGAGAAGCAAGGAGACAATCAGGAGACTAGTGCATTATACTGAGCAAGAAATAATGGACTAAAAAGCAGCAACAGCGAGATAAGACGGCAGGGTACAGAAGCTAAATATTTACCCTTGTTTCAGAAACAAAACTACACACACTTAATCTTCAGAACAAGCCTAAGGGGTAATGGTTCTATTTTTACACAAGAAACTCAAGCTTCCAAGCAAGTCACTTGCTCAAAATGGCACAGCTTACAAGTAGGAGCACAGACTCGAAGTTCAAAGATCCTACTCCTCGGTAGGATCCTCTAAAAGGCATTCATTCAGTGAGTTATTACTTTTCTTAAACAAGATTTATCTAAGGTTAGAAGTGACCAATTTCAGAAGAAATATATACCCTCACAAAATTTAACCTCCCAAACTGAACTATATAAATTCAAGCAATGTGGGTAAGCCCTACATTTGTTTCCTTCTTTAAAGCTTATACAGGACAAGGTTTAACTTCACTAATTTACTTCATTCCAATTTATTATTACACCGTATCAAAGATTTGTTTTAGACATTAAGGAGGACATGGGAAGACCTGAACTTTAGGTAACACAGCAAACTCCCATGTCCAGTGTATTAATGGCAGCCATACGTAAAAGGCTAAGGTGTGCAGTAATGGCGTACCCGTGAACATTGCAGAAAATATGTAGTGTGTGTCCTCAAGCCGTGAGACAAAGGTGGCACATGTGTTTCGAGTCCCATGTGGACTCCAACAGGTTAGGTGGCTACTTCCAACATGAGCCTGGAGAAGAGTTGGGGCTGCAGGGACCATGAGTGCCCACTTTGGGCTCATGGGTCTGGGAGCCTGCTGAGGGCAGACTCTGCACCGAAACACTTTTGTTCCCATGACGGGCAGGGTATTTCACTGCTGCTTCACATCAGATAATGCATCCTGATGTGAAATGTAACAAAATGTGCAAAATGAAGGGGAAAGTTCTGTGACTTTTTTTTGCTGGTGTCTGACAAAACATACACACACCTAGTATCGGTTTCCCAGAAAACACTCTAATGGACAGCTTCAGTTAAGTAACTAGGGTTACAATTTTCAAATGCTCTTCTCGGGCATCCGGACCATTCAGGGACATATGTGTTACGTTGTATTTATGTTTGGATGTGTATGTGTAACTATGCACATACACTATTTTAGGAGAAAACATCAGCATTTCCGCTTGGTAATTTAAATAATGTCAACTACACGTGTTTATTTGTAAAACTCCCCATAGTGAAACACATTACAGTTACCTGGAAACATTCATTTTTCACTATTAACAATTTGAATAATCATGGAATGTTTGCATAATGCAACCAATTGAGTTATAGAAAAGTCACATAAACAATATATATCTGATGCCCAATCCTTTACAAATATTAAATACCTTCACTGGGTTGTTAAACTGTCAAGTATAAATAGGATGAGGTCAGCAATACTTCAGATGAGGCACTTTAACAATTACTCAAAAAGATTAGGTGTACAAACTGTAAAACAAAACTCTTGACATTAACCTTACCCATAATTTCAGACGTGATTAATCTGAGATGGTCTACATTAAGGAGTGTTATAAACCTTTATTTCTTGCCCTTCTGCCTTTACTTGACCCAAGGCGACACAAAAATGAAACACAGAAGATACACAGACATCACCACAGACCAGTCCATGTGCTCACATACAAAGGAACCAAACATTATCTAATGACACTGGGGTTTCAGAAAGTGACAAAATTTCACACAGAAACTGATGCGCAATTGTTTTCATGAATGTGTATAAATACATTGGTCTCCCAAAGGCAAAATGGTATCTCCACCATATTCCCAGACAAAAATACCCTCAAACTTACTATTAACTAAATTAAAACTATTAATCTTACGTACTCTTTTCAAACACTGAATTTTTAAAATAGAGAAATGAAAATATTACATTTTAACCTTAAAAATAATTAAAACATTAGATTTACCAATACTTCATAGATTACAGTTTCAAGATTTAGAAAAAAGCAATAGTGAACAGATGTTTTGTTTTGCAAGCCTTTTATGAAAGACCTTTTAAACATACACATTTGGCCAATTCATTTTCAACCTTAAATCAAGTTCTGAGTATTTGTACTGCATCTTTTGGTGGTTCAAAGAATAAATACTTGATTAGAGGATACTAATCCATGTTGCTTCATGAATTGAGTTCTGTATTTTCTCTACTGTTGAACTTCAGTACACCTCTTTTAGTAAGCAAATGGCTGACTCCAATTTTTAAAGTTCATCCAGAAGGAATTCCAATCTGTGGTTTCATTAGCTACATGTTTTAGGTAAGAACAGTTAAATCTCACTACACTTGTTTCATTTCTGGTAGTTTGTAATTTGAGAAATTTCTATAGCCCAGGCACCCAACTGCTGTTCAGCAAGCGTGGGTGTTTTTATTCATTTGAACGTGGTCAGCTGCTCCGATGCCCTGATCAGAACTGCCTGCTCTGCACGTCTACACACGAGGGCACACGGGCTCCTTCATCCCCAGCTCAGTTTGGCTCCTCCAAAAAGAGAAACAAGCTTTAGCTTAATATGCTACCTGACACTTCAGTTTCTTCTAAAATCAAAAGTCGGCCAATTTTCAAAGGAATGGAAAGAGAAATACTTATTTAGAAGGACAAAAATTAAGCTTGGCAAAAGTAGTGACTTTTATTTACAATTGCATGTAACAAGATTACAATAGAAACTAGTGCTATCTCGGGACAAAAGCAATGATTTATCGGTAATGGCAATGGATGGAATTTTGACAGTCTCTGGCGAGAACCGAGCGGTCGTCCGGGAGCTGTGGGTCTGATTGTGACGTGGCCTTCCAGTGTCTTTTGTACCTTAGTGACTTTCTCCTTTTTTGCCCACTACCTAGGAAAACAAAAATAATTTTATATGTACATCTTATTGATTCAGAAATACGGGTTATTTTCAAAGTAATACTACTACAAAACAGTATTAATTGGTCATCATCCTTAAAACCCAGAGTTAACGTTGGCCCCTGCACTTCTCGGCATGCAGTCGACCCTCACTGCTGAAGCTGTGCCCGCCGCCCCTTCCAGCCCCAAGGAGTCAGACAGACCCCCATGCAGGCCACTTTTGGGTCCCCACACTGTTTTAAGAAAAAGTAGTGCAATTTTTCAAGGCAAGGTTGACAGTTTAAAGACGTTAATAAAAAGATGATGCTGTATGAGTGAAACATATGTGGCACACTATTTTTAGGAAATTAGAAATCAAATGTCAAACACAATCTAGAATTCACAGAGTAAGCTAAACTTAGGTCTCCACGTCCAAGACGACAGGTTTCTGGATGTTTCTCTCAATATATAGACATGTAATAGAAATATTAAAAAATGACTAATTTTGCCTAGTTTCTATTTTTAAGAAACCCTCATTTCTATAAATGTACTATAAAAATGTAAAAAAACAAATCTCCTGTCAATGGTTAGAAAAATTGATTAGAAGGTTTTTAAAATAGCCTAGTTGCTATAAATGTGGCAGCATAAAATTATAAATAAACTTGGTTTCTACCAATAGTTCTAGAAAACAAATTTTCTGTGGGAAGGTTCTAAAACTATGTTCTAATTGAATAATTTACTCGAAACCTAAAGTTTATTATTAAATAATGTATTCTCATAGCATAAATGCCCCCAAAGAAATCTACTTGCAAGCTATTGTATATATTTGTACAGGAAAATGTCTATATGCATTTGTAAACATAAGTTTCGTATTTTAAACTGATTCTTTTCCAAGTGATAGCGTCTGGATCAAGGAAAACTATGTCTGGCCTAAAATAGTAAATGGTTGAGTCAATGTCCTTCATGAGAGAAGATAAGAAAACCCCTTCCACTGAATGTCCAGACACATAACGCTGGAACTGCTGTCTTCCCCACTTCAAGTAAAATCACTTTTATTACTTTAAAAGAACTCCTCACTAATCCAAGGAAACCATATGTTACAAAACCCCAAAAGCCAGGAAGATGCTAAAGAGATAGTCTCGGAAAAGAGTGTATGGACGAGAATAAGAAATGCAGGTTTTAATAGCCATAAGGAGCCTTCTTAAAAAAAGGGAGATGAAACCATTTGTATCATAAATGAATTCAAGCAGGTAAACATCGAAAGCATTATTGATCATTGTATCATTTGGGAACACACAGAACACAGAGCTATTAGATTAAGCAAAAGAAAACAAAAGGAATATTAAAAATTAAAGTTTTAGCAGATGTGATACAGTAGAAGACACGAATCTGCATACTGTTTTACAGGTTGATAGCTCTCAACTTGCCAATGTGTATTCTCTGTAAAAAAGAAGAAATTTAACATTCCAATATAGATTTTCTCACCCCAAACATCTTTTATTCATTTTAGGTTTTTATATCAACACCCCAGACAAACAAAAGTCTAGGTACATCAAAATTAGGTGTCAAGAATATTTCTGCAATAAATAGTCCATTTTTCTTCTATATTAGTATTTTAAACCAGCCTAATCTTCAGTCCATAAGTCTTTCAACTGGCCTTGAGCTCATTTGGGTAGGCAAAGCATAGGACACACCCACAATTAGTGAGCAAAATGAGGGGAAAAAAATCCGCATCTCTCAACTACAGCCTAATCAATACATTATACTACTAGTAGCACAAAAGAACTTGACACAACGGTTTATATTTGGTTTCTAAAATGATTCTACAGTTCCTAAAAATAAAAGTAAAACTTCAGATGGGACTGAAATATTATGTTATTTCAACAACTAGTTAAATCTGAAACCATTTACAACAATGTGAATTTTATTGCAGCATTATTTCTCAAAAGGCAGTACCAAATTAAACATGAGACGGGGAGAGTTCTAAATATGTCAGGGGAGCTACACAGTGTGGGACTGAAATCGAAGCACCTCGCCGCAAGCTCAAAACGACAACGGAAACAAAGTGAAAGCCCGCTGAGCAGCGTGACTGGTGGGGTCTGAAGACAGAGATGGAGGAAACTAGGTGACAGTGAAGCTGGTCCAGGTGACAGCAGCTGGAGAGGTCTCGCACCAGCAGTGACGAGAACATGGGAAGGGTGAGAGCAGACAGGTGCGAGATGAGCGGAGAAGCAAGGAGGGGGGTGAGATAAGGTCAATCTTTATATTACTTCATTTTTTTAAATCTTCTGGTTTTAGTTCATTTGAGTTGGATTAAAAAAGCTGAAAAATAAATAGACAGAAATGTTACAAAAACAGCTGACACGGTGAATGGCCAGTTTAGAAAAGTCTGTTTTTATTACAGTGATAGAGAACCTGGTCTGCTTCTCACATGCAACTCATTCCCTACGAAGCAGAAGCCCCTTCAAGGTTGCCCACTTGTGTCCTTATCTTTTATTACTTTTGCATTAAAACAAAGCAATCCATGTCCGGAGCATATTTTAGCAAAGAAAACATCTACTTCCAATTGAGATGGCAAGCTTTTCATGCTGCAACACCAAGGATCCACTGACAACAGCAAACGACTTAAGTGCATGTTATGACCTGTGCACCACGCCTGTAATGATGAGCCAGAAAAAGACAAGCAGAAGGTGTGTTCCAGTTGCCAAACCTTCCAAGTACAACCTCAGTCACAGCTGTAAGGGCATGCAAGGTGGTCTGAGATGTCTATCCACATCCAAGATTCTTCAGTGTTACCTTAGCTTCTGTCATCTTAGTGACCTAAGGAGGTCGGTGACACTCTGAAAACTAAAATTATCTAGAACAACTCACACGACACAAAAATGTAAACTGAAAATGCTAAATGACCCTATTTTATCATTCATTAAACCATTTTATATAACTTCACAGAGGTATCAAAATTGTCTTCTATGCTGACAAAATATGTACCAAATCTATTTTGAAATTTTAAATTCTAATTACCACATGTAATCCCTTAAAATTCAGAATGACTAAATAAGGGGAAAAGGGCCACACCCGACTTGTCCTGGGATGCTCCTACTTTCCATTCCAACTGGAGTGCCCACTGCTGCCCTGTCTCCTCCATCCACTCCTTAAGTTGGATTCAAGCACTCTTCCTTCACGAAATACTCTTACTTTCCCACCATCATTGTGAAAAAAGAGATAACACTGGCGTGGACAATAGGAGAATACTCTGTGGAGGAAGAGAAGCCTGACCTACACTTTGATTCACCTGACTAGCTTTCCAGATGTTTATGGATTGTTCTTCAAGCACGTGAACTCATGTCCACAGGGACCATGACTGCACCCAGTCACAGTCCTGCACAGACCATACTTCGTACCTATCATTTCCTTCACTAGAAACCAAACTCAAATTTTTAAAGGCAACTCTATACAAGGACCAAAGTGGCCAACTGCAGTTAAAAAAGACACTAATTTTATTGCAATTTTCCTACACTAAAGTTGTTGACTTAGCATAATATGTATTTTTAAAAATGAGAAATAACCCTGCAGGACAATGAATTACACAGGCAGAACCACTCTCACTCAGAAATTATTAAAAGAAAATGTGATGTAATATTATGTCAGAAAACCATTCAGCCAATTAAAATGCATCAAACATTAAAAGCAAGGGACGAAAAAGCCCAGGAAAGGGGTCCACCTTCACCCCAGTGTTAAACTGTTCTCACAGCAGTTCGCAGTGGGGTCCAGGCTCAAGGAAGGGGTCCCTGAAACCCCTTCCGAAGTCTTCAAGCTAAAAATTATTTTCCTAACGATGCTGAATTGACTGTCTTTGTCTCACAAATGTACACACAACAGAGTTTTCGAGAGGCTATATACCTGTGATAGCAAAACTGAATGAAAAACAATACGAGAATAAGAGAATTCAATTAAGCTAAACAGTAAAGAAATTTGTGAAAGTATAAAACAACATTCTTCCCTGCGTTAAGCTGCTTTTTGTTTTGAAAAATGCCATATTTTGCTGTGTATAATGCACACCTACATTTTCGACCCAAACTTTCAGGAAAAAGTTTGTTTTAATTTTTTAATTAAATTTTTATATTTAGAAACAAAACCAATTATCGTATTCCAGGGCATTATTTTGCATACATATATCATTACTGCTTTCTAGAGTTATACTTTTAATGTATAAGCATAAATATAAGAATTAAAAACATTTATGTAGATACAAAATTAGTACTACCCATGTGTAATGCACATCCTCATTTTCCCCAAAAATTTGCCCAGAAAAGTGTGCATTACACACAGCAAAATACAGTATATACAATTTAAAAATATTATTTGTGTTAATATACAGTGAGTTTATTATTTGTAAGTAAATATTTTTTTAATTTCTCAGTTTTAATTTCTTAAATGGTGAAGGTTAGATAGGCAGAGCCACAGAAACAAAAGCTCTTATTGGTCCTCAACAATATTGAATAGTATAAAAGGGTCCTGAGTCTAAAAATTTGACAAGTAATGCTCAATAGTAATTTTGTTTTTTTAAATATTTTATTTATTTTTAGACAGAGGGGAAGGGAGGGAGAAAGAGCGGGAGAGAAACATCAATGTGTGCTTGCCTCTCACGCACCCTTGACTGGGAACTGGCCCGCAACCCAGGCATGTGCCCTGACTGGGAATCAAACCGATGACTCTGGTTTACAGGCCAGCACTCAATCCACTGAGCCACACAGGCCAGGGCACAATAGTAATTTTAGGTAAGGTAAAAAAGTATCTAATTAAATGAATACATAGCCAAATTATTAAAGAAGTACCAATACTTCCAAGCGAGAACAGTCTAATAACACTTTTGCCATCATAAAGACAGTCCACAGAGAGGCGGTCTGGCGTCAGAAAAGAGGAAAACTGGTGCAGAAGAGGTGGCTGAGGAACGTTAAAAACAGAGGTGGAGGCAGATCTTGGGTGGACGGCGTTAACGCGCATTAGAAAAACGAGCGAATGGCAGGCTGGCCGAAAGGTGGACAACACAAAGTAGTGCTTACTTAGGAGCAAAACGGAAACCCAACAGCATAAGCTAAAGTGAGAAGCAGAAACCCAGAGCTGACCTAATGATATCTTATGAAATTATTAGGCTAAAAACAAATTATGCAAGGGACAGTTAAAGCTAAATCCAATGGTATTTAATTCAAGCAGGCAAAGTAAAAAAGCAGGCAGCCAACAGGTCTTTGTTGCTCACACATTTTCCCAGTACAGCATATTTCATATCATAAAAACGTAGATGTTTAATCTCTGCTTCTCCTGACCTGTCATTGTACATATGTCAAACACTTAACATGACAGCTCTAAGTACACAGTTGTTCCTATGGCTCCCAAAAGTTCACTACACTATGACACAGGAAGATGGTACTTGTAGAATGCCTGGTTAAAGTCTCTATAATCAAGGTCATCAATTTTGTAAAAAACAGCACAATTTTATAAGGCTATCTAACGTCATGAAATTTTTATGAATTTTTCTGTAGCTGAATTAAAATTACATCTGAGGATACCATCAAAAAGAGTAAGTTTCCAGCATGTTCTGTGGCTCCGATTCCCCCATAGAAGTCACTGGCCAGCCCCAGGGAAACTCTTCTCTTTTACGATGATCTCGAGTTCTAGGCTGCCTGCCAGGTGCAGCCACCAGAGACCTGGCGATAACTACACCTCCCACACCGCTGCACAGTTCATCTGTGTACAGCTCGGGGTTCTGTACACATACAGCTCCTAGAGGTAATTTTACGATCTGTGGTTGTATATTTTAGGAGTCACCATAGGAACTATTACCAATCAGAAGTAATTCCATGAATATACAAATGTTCTCGTTCCTAATGGTCCCATATACCTTATAAATTCCTTGCAAATCTCAGAATATTTGTTTACATATATATGCTCACATATATGTATATACAAATATCTGCTTATTTTCTGAAATTTGTTCTTTCCATAATTTGAAAGTTAGCATATCAGTGCAGTAAAGTCCATTATTTTTTGTTAAAATTATACAAGTCATTTAAAATATTTTCATCAGAAATGATATTCCAAATCTCAGTATCAATAGTTCTTAAAAGCTCACTAATAACAATGATTTCACTTACTGTTTTTCCATTACTCCTAACTACTTTCTGTGACCAATTACTTTTACCCTTTTAATTGGGTGTCATTCATTAATAGACACTGTATTAGTAGGACTTCTTATTTTTATTCGAGATTTCTTTTAGTTGCTTATCTAAAAATGTGACTAGGAGAACTTACTGTTAGTTTAACCTATGACAGGACACTGATATTTATAAAATACTGCTTTAAAATTATAATTTTAATTCCCCTAAATATCATTTCAACAAACTTACTCGTTTGAAGTCATTCATATTTGTTGCCTGGACTGGAGTACCAATGAAAGTAAAATATGAAATTCTTGTGGTTTCTTCTTCACCTTGATTGGATTGAACAAATATCTACCAAAAAATAATAATGTTTACAGTAAGAATTACAATCCTTTCTTTCATAACAATGCTTCCAGCTTAACTGAGTTCCTTAGATAACTAATAAACACTCTGACCCTTCCACTCTTTGTAAGGATCCATCCAAACTACACGGACACCAGTACCCCATTGGGAGCATTAATTCTACTGTGTGCCCCGCTGCTCACATCCACCCCAGGGACATCCCGGCAAAACACCCGTGTGCACGAGTTCTTGATAATCCAGTGTGATGGCGTGGCGGGGTCATAATTCAATTCTTTAAAACAAAATGCTTAATGAATATGAAATTCACAATTATAATTAGCAGGACGCTGTTGAAGTTTTATAAAAAATATAGCTTTTCCCTGAGGAATATTTCTGCAGTTATATTCTTTCTGATATCCATCAGTTTAATTTCATAGAATAGTAAAATAAAGAGTAGTACTGGAAACCAGCTCGTAAAACTACACTATGCTCATACAGGGCCCAGCACAAATAACATCCCTTTTTAATTACAAAATCTTAAGCATGTAATTCTGTAACATAACAATATCACACTCAAGCACACCATGTGACATTTTAGATTAAATGTTCCAATTAAAACCATAAATTATAACACTCATATTAATACCCTACCAACCACACTCAAGCAGGCCTTACTGCTGCCAGGCCCTGTGTTTTTTACACTTGACTATGGACACTTCCTATTTAACCTCCCCTGGCCCCAGCGTGTTAGGAGACAGAAGCTTCATTCGCAGGTCCTTTTTCGTCTGCTGGATTTTTTAATTCACTCCGTATTTTAGAACACAATACTCTGGATGCTGTCTACCGAATGGTATTGCCTCTACCTTAATCTGGACAACACACTTCTTTCATTCACAGACGGCACACATCGGTCAGCTTGTGTCGTTTGTGTAGCAACCACAGATTCATCTCAGAGTGAACTGATCAATCAAAAACTTCAAGTCTATAATCAGTAGACTGTGAAACAAACTCTCCGTTTCTTTATTTGTAATGCTCTTTGAATCTAAGCACAAGTTTTTATATTTGCTGCTTTTAAAATTCATCCACTTACTTTAATTAGACTCTCTGATCAAAACCGTCACTTCAATTTCAATTTCATCACCAAAAAAGTGATAGACATGCTGCCTGCGTCTTAAATGGAATTCTGACTGAGAGAGGACACGAGCCTGCCACAAGGTAACTATGGTTTGTGATTCTAATGACCCAGGCGAAGAGGGGTGTCGGGTCTCTAGGCTGGAAGAGCTTTTCCGTTAAACAGCGGCCCTCCTCCCAGCACTAACTAAAAGCACAGGTGGTGTTACGAGCACATGCTAACAGCATTCTTTAATTTGGAAGAACCAGAATCGCTCCACTAAAGCAAAGAAATCACATAAGTTTGGCATGACTTGTCCTCAGTGACTAGGCTGCCTCCCACCTCTTTTCCTGGGCCTGCTCCACTCCGACCCAAAGCCTCTGAAGGACGGACGGACGGACGGATGGACGGGGCGTGGACAGCATGTGCTGGGGTTCAGTACCCAAATTCACAAAAGCAGTTATTGACTGCTAAGAGGCAACAAACTTCTTAATGTAAATTAATATAAAACTATCTTTTCAAAGTCCTTTTTATTGAGATCATGACCACTACATTATTAAAAACTCAGTATTCTAGGAAAGTGCATCAAATTTTATAAATGTATCATTCATTACCAGGTATGAATAATAAAGCACAAATATCTTCAGTTCAAATATAAATGTTCTAGAATAAACTTTTAACAACAGTTGCCAAATGTATAACAAGTAAGTAAACTGACAAATCCACAAATTTAAAAAGAAGAAAAATTGACCTGTCCTTCCCCTTAGGGCACACAGATAAATTAAGAAGAAAATTTCATTAGCTCATTATACATTTTTACTACCTCGAGCCAAGTGGACAAATAACTACTTTAAAAGATCATTTAGAATCACCAAGTACAGCATAAATTGCCGCCCACAAAGCCATGAAACATATCTTAATGAGATGCTACTTACAGTTACACTGTTGACATTCTGAAACTTAACATAGCGCAGTGGAACGATGCTGTCTTCTTTAATATCATCCTCTGTTAGTTCCAGAGCTTGAGTTGGCTCACTTCTTTCTGCTTCTTCAAAATCCATAGATCGGGGTAGATTGATAAAAATTTTTACGTATTTAGGACCCTGGCCTATAAAATGGTAGAATAAAATAAGACACTAAAAACCAAACATATAATGTTCTCTTACCTATGTTATTACATTCATACTATACAAACGTAAACACATACACACATATCTACACACATCATTAGGAATTCTAAGAAAGTCTAAGTATTTTCATATACTTGGTGTGTGGCCTGGACTAAAACACACACCAACACGCGCGCACACGCGTGCCCAGAGTCCCCGCCCTCCGCCACAACAGATGTACTGTGGAGACGCAGTGCTGCCAGGGAGGAGGCACAGAAAAGCAGCGCTGGGGCCAGACGGTAAATGCAGGCGAACAAGCCTCATGAAAGAGGTAACAGTGGGGCTGGGTCTCGAGGTCGCCAGCAACTGGTGCATCTCATTACTTAGGAGGAAAGCATTACCAGTGACACCATCAGCCAAAGGAAGAGTCATCACACAAATTGCCAAATTCATCTTAGGAATTAAGATGTGCTCAGCGGTAAAATCACGTTCATAGAGCATCTTAGTCCCTTTAACTTCAGGGTATAATCTAAGACCCATATTTTCGGGCTGATTAAAGAATCCTAAAATACTCACATTGCTTAAATGTGCATTTCTACAGCATTTGTTTTTACAAATACTTTGTATTTTCAAAATAAAGACAGTTTCACTAAGAAAAGTTCATTAATACATAAAAATTTAGAATAACAAATGAGAAGGAAATGCTATCTGATAAATAGGGTGTAGACTCCTTCTTCCAATCAATTAAACAACAAAACTAAAAGAACATCTAGTTCCTACTCCCTCCACCCTCCTTCGACTCCAGCCCCCCCACAAAAAAATACCTCAACTGAAACAGAAAAAAAAGGAGGAGGAGAGTGAGGAAAAGTCTTTATTTAATAAAAAGACAAATGCCAAGTCTGTACAATCATCTTTATGGCATCAGCTGTGCAAAGAACATGAATCTATAAATGTGGCACAAGCGTTAGTTTTATCACCCATAGTGGCAGTCTGAAATAAGCATCTCCCCGTTCTGACCCTAGAAAATGGCTAGAGTTCCAGAGTAACATCTGAAAGGGAAGGTTCACTTGCTTTCAGGTCAAGAGGAAACTTAAATTCTAAAATGATAAACTTTAGACATAAATCTCACATTATCTGCCCATTCACTTACATCATCACTTTGTTACAAAAACAATTTCACTCCCAAAACAAGGATATTCTACTTCTACGTAATGAATAGAAGTAGGCCTGCTAACAGGGCTACAGAGTAGAAAGGTAGAGAAAACTGTCCATCACTTACCATTATCTGGCCCTTGAAATTTCATTGAATAAAGCTTAACAGGTTGATTGAATGCCACAGTAATAAGCAGCTGTTAAGAAAATAATAGTTTAATTTTAAAAGAGCTCTTGAACACCTTGAATACACACAACTAAGAATTAATTCAGAGGCAAAAAATTTTAATTCATCTCAACATAATACATAAAGTCAGTAAGCTGAAGTCACTTGAGTAGACTGACATTTGAAAAACACGATCATTATTCACATAAGGGAATGACAACAACAAAATTAATGGAACTTGTTATAACTATGCATAAGAACCTAAGAACTTGTAACTTATAAATTGGCCAGCAATTTGCTCTCTATAAACTCAAACAAAATTCCCAAATTAAAAAAAATTAAAATAGTTATGTTATTATGGAAGCTTCTCATTTTTTAGGATGGTTTATTTGTCAAGCATGTACCCATGTCACTTAACAATTTGTAGAAAATTCACAGCTTATATGGAGAGATCAGCCCTCAAATGGACTTTACATCATCCAAAATTCAAAACAAGAGGATTCTTAAAGCTCCAGAGTCACCTCCAAACATTACTTAGTATGAACACAGTGTGAAAAATATTCTCAAAGCTATACAATAAGGTAGCTCTTGTCGGAGCAAAAACAATGGGGTTTAGACTTATGGTTTTAGAATCATTATAGTTTGCCTGTGAAAAAACCTCTACCCTTTGGACTATATCCTTTGGTTATATAAGTACTTTTTATATTTAAGTTGTAATAGTGTGTCAAAAAGAATAAGCATGACTTGTTTGGGGATCTGAGCCACAGGTGAAAGGGAAATGAGAGTGAAAGCTGGAAACAGATCAGTCAGCAAGAATCTGATGTCGGCCCTGGGTGATGTGGCTCAGAGGGTTGACGGACAGCCTGCAAACCAAAGGGTCACCAGTTCGAATCCCAGTCAGGGCACATGCCTGGGTTGTGCGCTATGGCCTCAGTGGGGGGTGCAAAAGAGGCAACCATACATTGGTGTTTCTCTGCCTCTCTTTCTCCCTCCCTTCCCCTCTAAAATTAAATAAATAAAATCTTAAAAAGAAAATTCTGACACAGTCTTCCTGAAGCCAGTGAAGAATCCTTTAACTCTTAAGAAACAAGCATGATCAGATCCATATTTAGAAAAAAATACAGCTTTTGCAAACATGTGGAAGATGAACTGGAATAGGCACAAAGCAGTCAGTGGAACAGAAAGTAAACTGAGGAAAATAACCATTGACATGAAAGACGGCGTGATGGAGGCAGCTTCCTCTGTGACAAGGCAGGAATATCGGGGAGCCCGATACAGGTGTGCACTGGGGGTGGGGACCAGACAGGGAGTGCTCGTTTTGTGTGGGCAGAATGTATACAAGGAGGGCGAGAATGAACACAACCACCAAAGGGTGGTGACGGTTCAACTCGGCGGTGGGGCCAACCCAAGAGCTCGGCGATTCTCCCAGGGCGCCTGGCAGCTCGCCTGAAACAAGGGAAAGGAGGCGGGTCTGCACAGCCAAAAGGCAGGGGTCCGAGAAAACCAAAATTTTAAAAAGCAAAGGAAGAGGCATCATCTAGGAAAGAGAGACATAAAACCATGAGATGGAAACATGATAAAGAAACAAGAGCGGGCGTGAATACTGATAATCCTGATAAGCTGTTATTAACCTAGGCACATTCAATTACCTGTTCATCACAATCAGATTCCAGGAAGGTCATGTCTTTTCGTAAACAGTTGTCAAATCCATGCTCATCACTTTCATTAAGACATTCACAGCCAGCTTTGTTAATAAAAGGCATTAAATCCATCTGAAAATGTTAAATTGAGACATTAGGCAAAGCATTTGGATTTGGTATAAAAATCTTACTAAAAAACTTAAATATTGTGATTTGCTCTAGATTGGTCAGTTTTACAGAAAACGTCTCTTTTAATAGTTATTAAAACTTTCATAGTAATCTTTCCATTCGAGTTTCTGACTGAGATCTACCACTAATTATTAAAGCCAAATCTAGGCTTAGCCCACTTGGTTACGGCATCAAAAACCAAGCCTTTAATACTAAGATTATAAAATACTGTCTGATACTTTTTGTAATATCAGTATTTTACAGTGGAAAATACACAAACTAAAATACCTGTAAGATCCAAAGAAAGCCTACCTCCCTCTTTTAGAGGCCATGGTTTCTTTAACCTACATCCACGAAGCACCTACAGTAAAAAAGACTAGCAAATGTGAGGCTAAACTGTTTTTACTATGAGAATTTCAAACATCCATAAATAGAATTAATCAGCACACTCCATGTACCCACCCCCCGGCTACGATAAATACCAATTCATGCCTACCTGTTATTTCTTCTCTACCTGCAACCAGCCCCAACTATTCCCAGTTATTTTCACGTAAATCTTAAGACTTTTTTCATTTCATTCAGACATTTCAGAGTGCATAGCATTTCTATGCAATGAGGACTCATTTAAAAAAATCTTCATTATCAAACTAAGAAAGTACTGTCAAAAAACAATATCGTCAAATTATCGGTGTTTAAATTTCCTCAACTGTCTCACAAGTGTTTTACAGTTAAATTGTCAGACTCAATAAGGATCACAAAAAAGCAGCAAGGCTGTATTCATTTAACACATCTTTTAAATCCCTTTTCTAATCATTCAGCCCACAGACTTCTAACATCCTGACTTCACCGACTGCTCCCCTGTGGCAGTGGCGTTTAGCGGATTCCTGTTGATGTGTCAGCTAACACTTCCATGCTCCCGACACAGCCTGCCGGGGCCGTGGCCACAGCAGTGCCCGAGGTCTCGTTACTGACTTCAGCGGGAGTGCCTTCCGTGCTTCCCCATTAAGATTTTATTGAACGCTGCATAATAACTGGGTAACAAATGTTGTTAAACACCTTTTCTGCATGTTATGAGATCATGATTTTTGTTGTCTGGATGGCTGGATTTTGCTACTAATATATTATTTACAATTTTTGTACAACAATATTTCCAACTGGAACTGGTCAGTAATTTTCTATTTTGGTGCAAGCTCTGTCAGATTCTGGGATCAATGTCATATATACTTCAGAAAGAAATCTGCAAGTTCTCTCTCTTTATCTGGTCTTAAGGTTTGGTACAGTTCCCCCGGGAAGCCATCTTGGCGGTCATGGAACAGTTCTTTCACTGTTTGTTCTAGGAGAGTCTTGGTAAACTTTCCTAGAAAAGTACCTATTTCATCCACTAAACAAGGACAATCTTTAAAATTCACCAAATATTACATATTTTCAGTTGCACATTCACCTTTTTATCTGAGGCTTTATGATGTATTTTTTCACCCAAAGATACTAATACATGTATAAATAGTTTTGGAAGACTAAAGGAAACTTTACTACCTGTCAAATAATTATCAATATGGTAATAACCACTACCATAATGAACTTAACTATTCATTTGGTAGCCTAAATGGTTTCAAAGCCAAATGTTCTTGTGTATTCTATTAAATGTTGGATTACATGAAATCATAAAGATATTAACTCAGAGTAACATTTGTAGACAACTCCAAAAAGAGGGGGAGGGGAAAAGGAGCACTATAGAGCAAAGTTCTACTGCTGGAGAAGTGTGCTGAACTTCACAAATATGTGCCTTGAAAGGGCAGTCTCGAGAAAATCCTTTAAATGCTGAAGTTTTCCATCCCACCAATGAGCAGCTTCAATACTGTGTCTTGGATTGAGAACCCAGGCATGAAGACAAAACTGCAGTCATATTTCCAAAACCTTAATGATGGCAATAAACTAAATAGATAAATCATTTTTAAATCAATTTTAGGTTTACTTATTTGGGCACATAAAACAAGTATAACATTCAAACAGTTGCATTAAAGAGCTTTGTCTATCTGGAACAAACTGGCATTATGTTGCATATTTGATGTAACTTCCAAATGACATCTTCTAACCATATGCAGCGGGAAATATCACCTATCTGTCTAACAACTTGCCAACCATGAGAAAAGAGTTATGAGAATACAATCAGACAAATCCAGACTGTGGGATAGTCTGTAAGTCAGATGGTTTTATAGACTTGTACTGTACAATAAGATAGCCATTAGCCACACGTGGTGATTTTAAAGTAAATTAGTTAAAATTAAAAATTCAGTTCCTCAGTTGCAACTGTCACATAACAAATGCTCGACAGCCTCTTGTGCCTAGTGGCTGCTGTACTAGACTGGTGCTGGTTTAAACTGAAACGAAGTCACAGAGAAGTTTCCGCACTAAAGAACACTAGAAAGGACAACTTCCATGATCCTTGATTTGATCCTACATGGAGAAAAACAGCTAGAAAGTATGTTTTGGACATAATTAAGGAAATCTCAATGTAGGTGTACATTAGAGATACTATAGCAATGCTAAATTTCTTAGTAGGATAATGGTATCCTGTTACATAGAAAAACATTCTTATTCTTAGGAGATACATGCAGTAATACTGCTAGGTGACATGTCATGATATCTGTCAGTCACTTTTAAATGTTTTGGCAAAAATTAAAAGTAGATGGACAGCAGCACGGAGCACGGTATTTAGAGCAGATGAACACAGGTGAGGGTATGTGTGTTTGTAGTACTATGTCAACTGTTGGGTTTGTTTCTTTTTAAATAAATTTCACTTTTTTTTTTTTGGTAGAGGGGAAAAATCCAACATGAGATACACAGAAAGTTACAAAACTCTCTCCACTCTTCAAGATTTTGGTTAAAGAAAGATCTACTTACTACACAAATTAGGGTCTGACTTAATGTCTGATTTGAGTTTGATAAATGATGACATATTTGCAGACCAAAACTTATAGTTCTAAGGTCAAAACAATATACCAACAAGCCTCAAGATTCAGAACACATACAAATGCAAGTTCAATTCCAGACTGCCTCACACTCAAACTTTGGGAGAAGAAGACTTGATTTAGAGGGCATGAGGGGAGCTATCTGAACCTATAGTATGTATTCTTAGCAAATTATGAAAGAGAGAAGAGATAATGTTTTAAATTTTCCTAACTTCAGTACACACTTTAAAAAACTTAATCAGTGTGCTCAAAAAAGTACTCTCTTACTTCTGAATAAGAATCTATTATGATTCATAACCTTTTGAGTATCCTTTGCAATATCTGAAACCTCCTAAAGGAAATATATGTATGCATTTACCTTACTCTGGATTCAGTTAAATTACGAGTTTCAGAACTATAGTACATATAAAATAAACAACTGTACAGCCTCTTATTAAAACATAATGACTAAAAGTCTTTATTCCAAAAAAATTGAAGACTTTATTTAAAAGTCGTCAATACATTTTTGTAATGCTCTACTTAAATCTACTTAAGACACAGCGTCTCTTATTCCCTTTAAGTCTCTACTTGTGTTGTAAGGGCAATGTTTTTTGGGAACGCATTACCAGTATTAAACATTTAATAATTTTGTTAAGATGTAAATAGTTCAAAACTTTTAATGTCTTGATTGACACCAGATGGGAAAAAACGAAAATGTTTTAATAGCTTTTCACATTGCATTCATAACATTTGCATGCAAACAAATTTTTTTATTTCTTTAAATTTTTTGTCCCACTCCTTTTCCCACCCGAGGCCAGTACACTGCTGGCACACTCGGCTGCCGTGGAAGGAGGCCTCCCTGTGGCGCAGCAGCAGGGCTGCTGCGCTCAGGCGTTTTCACGCAAACGCCCTTCATAATAAAGAAAAAAAGACAACGACCGTAAACACAACGGTTTGCAAGGCAAATGATTTCCAAAAATTTACAAAAGGTGCCATAACCCTGACTTACACAACACGTTTACACTTTCTAACTGGATATGGCAAATTTCAAGTTATTATTCAATATATAATACTTCTACTTTAAATATATACTGTGCTCCCCTAACTAGAAATAACTGTCATACCACATGCTAGGCACTTTTTGAAGACACAACCCCCCACGCCTACAAACACACTCAAAGAATCTCTCATATTTCTCTATCGAGTCTCCTCATTCAGCATGAATTTAAGGGTCTTAGGGCAAAGACTTGTAGCCCCACAACACAGATCTGCTTTAATGTACTCAATATGCATCCTCTCATATATTAGCTTTAATTTGAGGTAACACCTTTTTAAAAAAATCATTTCTTGATCTGCCAATACAATAACTTTATTTACCAGTTTGCATAAACAAATCAGGTACCATAAAATGCTACTTCTAAATTTCACTTACTTCCTTATTAACTCTCAAATATAAAGATATTGCATTATAACTATTCATGCTAGTTTTCAAAATTGTTTAAATTAAGTCTTCAAGTTGTTATTTAGAATAACTTAGAAAAACACAGCCAATACTCAAGTCATATTTGGTTCTAAAACAAAATCAATCACTAGCATATTACTTTTAGGGGGGCTAAAGGTATTTTTTAAGGTCTTACAATGGCTATTAAAATAGTTCAGAAAGCAGATGTTTTTTAAAAGTGACAAAGTAAATTAGCAGGAAAATAGTTAACGATGGGGGATAAAGTTGTAATAAACACACACAGAGAAATCCCAATAGTCAGCCAGTGAATTTACGTGTGAAGTCCTTACTGAAAGTATGCAAACTAGTAAGAGATAAAGCAGGAAAACACAGTCAGTCTCACTTTAACCAAACAATGGCACAGGCAGACGCATTGTGATCTCACTTCCAAGTCTACGTACATAGCCTTTCGGAATGTCTGTGTCCTCGTTGCTTCCAGGGTCGTTTTCTAAGTGCTGCTTGATTTTTTCTTCCAATCCCACAGCATCTGCTCCTTGATACTGATCAATTCTTACTTTGTTTCGAAAAAACAAAAACGTAGGTGTTGCTGATATATTGTTGGTGGCAGCTGTTCCCTAGAATTGACAAGATAGCATTATGAATTAAAATTAATCTTAAACCACTATGAATATTCTAATTATATCTGTATAGAAGTTAAATATCAGAAGCATGGACTAAGACATGTAAAATAATTTATTCCTAATTGCTACTTAAAAAAGGCAGGCCTATGCTTTAAACTGCATTACCCACTGAGGTGCAACTACATTATATCATTTGCTTTGCTTTGCATCCACAATGAAGAACACTGTTTTTTTTTTTTTTTTTATCAGTTTTAGTGTTAAATACTTCATGCAGTAGAACAATTAGCTCCCCATACAGAAACTGCTGTACAACACGACACAGCTCTCTCATAAGTGCACACCGTTTCCCAGAGGGATACTGGTATGTCAACGCAAACCACTGGTGTGGGGGCAACTTTCCTCCCAAGTTATCCCATGTGCCATGGATGAGAGTAAACATGACTGAGACATGATCTGCTTGGGGAGGAGAAGTGGCCAGTTTCCCAGAGGAAAAAGGCCTTGAGCAGTGGCCCGTTTCTCAAGGGAAAAACGCCGTGAGCCCCTTCCTCCAAAGGCTTTTACTGGGTTGTAATACACAGGAATAGAGTGGTAAGGATCAAACAGTAGATAACATTTCAAAGAAATCTGAGGGCTTGGTCCTAATCAGTCTGTCAGGAAGACTTTCAGGGTTTCCTGCTCGAACCCTTAACATATGAATGAAAGCACTCTTAGCAGAGCAGATGTCACAGGTTTATCAGCAAGTCTTTGTGATGCCAGATTTTTCCCCAGGACAAGCTCTAGCAAGGCAAGAAGCTGTACCCCTTCCCAACAGGTATTCAGGCTTAAGGGGTTTAGAGCCAAGAAGCCCTTCTCCCAGAGAACATGGGGACTCGGGCTTTGTCAAAGCCAGGGGGCAAGAGTCCACTGCTCTTTGTTGCACGCCACCCCCTCTCCCGAGTCCTTCCATGAAGGCCTCCCAAGTGGTCGCGTCTGGCCTAGGTTGCCCCTCCTCTGAGGGGTCTTACCCGTCGGACCATGCTTTGAGGGCAGGGAGGAAAATGAGGCAGCATTTGCTACTAGAGACAAGCTCTGTCTCCTGCAGCTTGCATTCCAGAGGTCATCGCTCACCCTTAGCCACAGGGGGTTGAGATACAATTCCTAGAACCAGGCAGAGTGGTCCACAACACACTGGTGCTGGGAGAAAATACACAAGCAAAACACAAAAGTCCACCCTACCATGAAGAAGGTAACATACTGTGTACTGCAATCCTCACCTGGTCTCTAATACTGATCTCCCATCAAACATGCTGTAACAGCTATCTTTTTAAATTCTGCTCCAACTCCACAATTATTACAAAACTAACTAGTAAATGGAAATTAGCTCCTAAGCACTGATTCATGAGAATTTATAAAGTAAATGTGTCACCTTACACATTCAAATACTATGAACGGGTAACCAGTATATCATTTGAAGAAAAAAAAGCATAATGTTTACATGAAGATGTCTTCTCTAAACTTTATTTAAAAAAAGAAAGACCTTAACAGCGCTGCCCCAAAGTAGTATAATTGTATGTACATGTAGTTTAAAGTTTTCTACTATCCATGACAAAAAAGTAGAGAAACACGAAAAGTCCGCAGCTGGAGGGCAGCACGGCTCCAGAAGACGGCACTTCCAGACGGAGGCAGCGGACACTTAAAATGCAGCCAGTGCTGCATCCAACGGTGTGTGGCGTAGTACTAAACAATAAACGTTACTATAGGGTTTACACTGCCCAAACTACTAACTACAAACTACATAACATTCTAAATCCTGTTCACACTCAGGAACAAAGACAAAGCCTCGCCAAAATAAAAGTCCCTTAGAGGTAAAGACTGTATTTTCAGTAATGGAAGGAATAACTCCCCCATATTTCTACATATGAAAACGCACAACTATCACACAGCCATTCCAAGGAAGTAATCAGGACCCTCTCTCTAGAACACTGTGGCTCAGTGAAAGTAACCAGCATTTTAAAGTTTCTGATGAGTGTGTAGCTTTGTAGCTAAGACTAAAAAGTGGTCAATGCAAATCAAGTAGAGAGACACGAAAAGTCCGCAGCTGGAGGGCAGCACGGCTCCAGAAGACAGCACTTCCAGACGGAGGCCTTCCGGAATCAAACTACAGGTGGGGCCAAAGTAGGTATATGGTTGTATGGAAAATAATACAATAATTAATAAATAAGAATACAAGAATAAACTCTGTTTCATACTCCCACAACTGTAAACCCAATTTCACCCCTCCCTGTATAATCAAAATTTTCCTGCTACAGCTTTCTAATCAGCCAGTGCCTCTGTAGTAAAGGATATAATTCTAGATTTGCAAAAAATAAAGAAGTGTAAAAACACACAGAACTGCCAGGTGACCTGTTAGCTTAGCATATTAATTTTATATCCGAAAGCTACTAATATAAATACACTCAGAAGCAATTAATAATCCAATTGCCCTTCTTAACTAATGCAGCCATGATGGCATCCATAATAATCATAGCAACATAACATTTTATTTTCAAATTAACAAATACTATACGCATAAAGAGATGAACACATGACAATAGTAATGTTGAAATTCCAATCGAGTTGTAAATAACATTTGTAAAAGGGCTCCTCTCCCTTACCTGACACTGGTGCACATCCACCTCCAGGAACACTGCCTGTGGGTACTTATTACTCATAGTACTGAACGCTGGGGCAATCCTCAAACACGGTCCACACCTGCGAGAATGGTAAACGAGATGCTCGGTAAAATAACACCAAAGACTGTAAAAGAACTTATCGATGAAAAGGCAATAAAAAACACAGAGTCTGATCATCCTGGCTTTAAACTTTCTAGTTCTTTCCACGGAACTATTTAGATACACTGCTTCAATACCACACTGTCTTTTTTCTTATTGATTTTTCTTTTGGAAGAGAGAGGAAGAGAGAAAGAGACAGAGACACCGACTATTGTCCACTTATTTATGTACTTGTTGGCTGACTCTTGTACGTACCCTGACCAGAGATCAAACCCGCAACCCTGGTGTATCAGGATGACACTCTGACCAACTGAGCTCACTGGCCAGGACCAATACCAATTGTCTTGATGACTACAGATGAGTGTTACGAATCTAGCAGTCAATAGTGTTAAGTCTTTCCGTGCTGTTCATTGAGACGACTTGAAGATCTACTTAAATGAAGGAATATACCACGCTTATAAACTGGATAATTCAGTATTTTCAAGGTGTCAATTCTCAATTTAGTCTCTATAGTCCACAAAATACCCCACCAGGTTTTCTTGGAAAAATTAACAAATTTATATTCTAAAACTTATAGGGAAATATTGAGTATATCCCAAGCTATTTTAGGGTTCAAAGCTGAAGAAATTAATTACCAGATATTAAAAACTATCATAAAGCTTTATAAATTAAGAATGTACAATATTGGCACAAGGATAACAAACTGACCAATGTAAAAAAAAAAAAAAAGGAACAGACCCACCCCGTAAACAGTAACCTGTTTTATGAAAAGATGACACAAAAGTGCAATGGAGAAAGGATGACAGTGTTTGGTCAACTAGACATCCAAATGGGGGAAAAATGAATGTTGACCCCTACCTCACACCATACACAAGCACCAATTCCAGATGGATTATAGATTAAAATGTGAAAGGTAAAATATTAAGGCTGTTAAGAAAATATAGAGAGAACACTTTCTAAACCTTGGAGTATGCAAAGATTTCTGAAAACACAAAAGCCACTAAAGAAAAAATTATAATAATATATTGGAACATACTTGATAAACTGGAAAATATTAACACAAACTAAAAGATAACCCACAAACTGATTTAAAAACCTGTCAAACATAAACAAAGGACTTAATACCTCTAGTATGTAAAAACTCTACTCCAAATCAGTAAGAACGAGAATGACACCCCATAAGAAAAATACGTAAACTTCTGAATAGGTACCTGACAAATGAGGTTATCAAGACAGTCAATAAATATGCAAAGATGTCCTGTGTGACCAGCCACTAGGTTAACCAGGGAATGTGTGTACAAACTAAACTCACCAAAACAGCGAGAACAAGAAAGCATGCAGTATGGTCACGAAAGTGCAGCAGCTGAACTCAAGGACAGTTGGTATGACCAACTTTGGACGGGAATAAAAGAAACTGGCAGTCTCTGCTACCGCAAGGTTAATGCCTACCTATGATGATGTCTGGGGCATACATAAACGAAAGAAATGTCCACATATGCTTGGCTTACAGCATTGAACACAAACAAACAAAAGAACAAAAACTGATAGCAGCAACATTTCTTAAGCCCCAAACTGAGAACTACTCAAATTCCTATCAGTAACATAATGAGTAAATTAATTGTAGTTATTCATGTAGTGGAATACTATACAATAAAAATGACTAACGTAAAATCTCTTGCAAAAACATGGGCGAACCTTACAAGTAGTAGTGAGGAAAGATGTACACTATGTGACTCCAGGTATGTTCAGTTCAAATACAGGCAAAATGAACCACTGGTGGCATATATCAGGACAAAGGTCACCTCTGTGAAAGTTCGTGACAGGACTGCATCACATGAGAGAATTCAAGAGGCCAGGAAGGTCCTACCTGTCCAGAAGCTGATGACATGGGTACATGCATCCAGTTTGTAAAGCTTGACTAAGCCATAAACTTTCAGAATTTTGTACTGTGTATGTTGTATCTCAATAAAAAGTCAAAAGAATGAGAAAAATCTTGGCTTTTGCATACAGAAACACAAGGAAAAGCAAATTTCAAAGCACAAAACATTCAAACTCCAACTGTGACTGTCTCTCTACTTCTACCACTCTAGGCAGCACTCTCACCCAGCGCCATCCTTAAGCCTCCCATCAAAGAAAGTAACTGTTAAGTTCCTAAATATTAAACTAGATGCTTCTGAAAGTAGACTTTTGGACTTAACAATCCTCAAGTAGGCCCTCAGAAAAAATTATAAGGAAACAAAACATTTACAGTCAACTAAACCTATGACTAGTTTAGCAAATTACTTCTAGCTATTAATTTCTTAAACATTATGGATGGGAGAACAATTAGTAGATCCTTTATAAGGGGCCAGTTAGTCATTACTTACCAATTTTAAATGAGTACAACCCAAGATTTATTTAACAATCAGACTTCTAAAAGTCAATCCTGTATTAACATTTACTCAATTACACAGTACGTATAAGAAGTTCAATGCAATGGTTGTAGATAGGCAAGAAAAGAAGAGAAAAGGAAAGGAAAAAGGAAAAGAAAAGAAACTAAGTGGCAATTAAGAGACATATAGTGTTATAAGCATGACCCATTCACACCAGGGGATAAGAATAATTTGTGCTGGGTAAAGAAAAGTCTCAAGATAAAATGTTTTCTATGATCGCATTACACACACAAGTTTAGGGGAAACTTTAAAATTATCCATACTTCTGCAACCTTTGCTTTTTTATAAGCAGGTACTTTTATTTTAAAATATTAAATAGGTAGTCACAAAAGAGGCAGAGGTCTTTAGGCTACACAACAATATACTCATTCCTGAAAAATCTGCCTTCTGTAAAAGCATGCTGCAAAATAGAGAGTGTACAGGGTGGGGGGGGGGGGAAATAAGACTGAGGCGAACCACTGAAACCGACACAACTTTGTAAAAATATCCCTAAGAAAAACAGTAAGTATTACTCAGGAAATACTTGGGCAGCTGGGCAGGTGGCTCAGACCTAGCGGCTACCTCAGAGGCTATTTAAAATAAACCAATCAAGTGGAAGTGCCCACTCACAGGTGCTGTGAAATCCAGAAGGAAGTGGGGCTCCGAGCCAGTGGGACTGCCACGCAAGCAGGGAGGGACAGGAGGAAGCGCAACGCTGAGAAGGAACCCTTCGAGCAACTGAGCTGGGTGCTCACATTAAATTTTGTTAACTTTAACCTTCTTAAAATAAACCTGAAAGGAAGCTGGCCTGTGTGGCTGAGGGCTAGCATTTCTCCTTCCTGGTAAAGGTTCTATTTCCACTCCTGCTCGTCACTATCTGGGAAAAACAGAATACGAATCGACACAATGTCCACTTGGTACTGACATCACTGCTCTCATCACCAATCATGTATGAACTAACTGGTGTTAAAGAAACACTTCTTGCAGCCAAACAGACTGTATAAAATAAGGGCTACCTTGCAAATAACCACTCCCTATTAAAATTTAACCATATCTAGATCTTTTGCTTAATTACAGTTAGTCAACATAGATTGGAACTTAAGTCAAAATAAGTCATAGAATACAGAAGCACAAATATTATATAGCACCATACTTTCACACTATAATAATTCAAATTAACTGACCAGTTATTGTAAGATCTTTGCCCTGTTTATTACTGGCATTTAAGAGTGAACTTAAATTTCCATTATTGGTTGAGCTTGTAAACATGTTACCCAATTTATACATGTATAAAATGAGAAGTGAATGAATTCTTCAAGGACCTCTCCAATCTCTAAATTACCCCAAATATGTTTGAATTTCAGGATTGTAGTTTTTTCTCTTGTGCAGACCTTGATTCATAGCTCTTAGTTCACAATCATAGGACCTTTGAACTTGTTACAAAAGACACCACTGAACATCTAGTCTAGAGGTTTAAAAAAGAATTGTCTACCTCTGAAATTCTTTTTGACTGAAAGCTTATCTGTGAACTCCAATGTGCAATATGAAGATGTAAGGATTCTGTTATGCTTTTTGAGATAAAGAGAATACAGCAGGCAACCTGCTAGCTGTCTGCAATTTATGAAAAACCAAACCCACAAAACTAAAACTTGTAAACTGACCTAACCTAAAATTGTTTAATAAGTGAGAACTGAAGACCAGAAAGTTAAACAACTTGTCCAAGATGACACACTCCAGTTAATGGCGTGACCACAACTAGCACCATTAACTCCTAAATCCAGACCAGAATCAGCTTTCTCCGCAAGCACCACACTAGTTTCATCTTAGCATGTAAGCGTTCTTGTTTACAGTCGTAATACAAATTCTGTGTCAGGAACTTGCTGTTCTGCCCCACTTGCTACAGTTGTCAGTGCTCTACCTTGAACAGTCACATGTACAAACACATTCCGCCACAAAACCGGTAAGGAAAATGTACGGGCTTTCTGAAAACATGTTTTAAAAGCTTATTTTTTCTGCAGAGTATAACTTTAAAATAGGTAATTTCTAGATGTATTATATTTACTGGTAGGGAGGCATAATCATAATTAGTCCTATTAATAATACAAAATAGCTACCATTCACTGAACACTTACTATGTTATACAATTTACAACACCCTTAAATTCATTTAGGCTTTGTAATTCCTCATTTTTAAGACAAGAACAATGAAGTACAGTGCTGAAATTTGATCACAAAACTCAATCGCTCTTTTTTCCTCTTAATCCTCACTGGAGAATATGTTTATTGATTTGGGAGAGAGAGGAAGGAAGGGAGGGAGAGAGAGTAGAGAAGTGGGAGATAGAGAAGAGAAAGGTGCGGGGGAGGGGCTGGAGGGAAAGAGGGAGGGAGAGAGAGAGGGAGAGAAACATGGATTCCATACATGCCCAGACCAGGGATCGAACCCACAAGGCGCCCTGACTGGGAATCGAAACATTTTGGTGTATGGAACAATGCTCCAACCGATTCACCCACCCAGCACAGCCGAAACCCAACTCCTAACTGCTATTCCAAAAATCCAGAGCCATGGCCCACCCAGAGTGCTTTTCTTGTTTTTTCTAAATGAACCGCCAAGATGAAAATTATTCATATGCTCCTGAAAGAAATTCAAATAGATTACATACTGTATGATACCATTTTTATAAAGTTCAAATCCCAGCAAAACCAAACTATACAGTTAAAATTCAACAGTAATGAGGACGATCTTGCAGGAGGGTCAGGAGTGCTGGTGTTGCTTAAATGCATGTAACCACTTTGAAACTTTATCAGATAAACTATACATTTAAACAACCTGTGTGCATTTTTATATACATGCCATACTTCAATTAAAAAGTTTAATTGATCAAATTCTCTGTACGTTCTTTCGACTCACCATGCCCCTAGTGATGTTAAAACTACCTACCTCGCTGCCTAATATTAGTCCCCCTCGTTCCTATGGTCTTTGGGGCTTGCTAACTCTGTGCTATAGTAAGCTACCCTCAGTCCACAGCAATTTTGCTATAAATAATTAATACAGTATACAGCCCTGGCTGGTGTAGCTCAGTGGATGGAGCAGAGGCCTGCGAACCAGAGGACCGCAGTTCGATTCCCAGTCAGGGCACATGCCTGGGTTGCAGGCTGGTTTCCTGCAGGCCAGTTCCCTGCAGGCCAGTTCCCAGCAGGGGACGCATGAAAGGCAACCATACATTGATGTTTCTCCTCCTCCCTCTTTCCCCTCTAGAGATAAATAAATAAAATCTTTAAAAAAAAAACCTTAAAAAAAATAATTCATACAATATACATATGATGTATTATTTGGACAAGCTACCAAAGCCATTAGAACTCAACATCCTAATACACATTAACATTCTTCTTGGGTGGTAACAATAACACCTAACCAACTACAAAGTAACACTTGCTCTAAGAAAATTGAATACATAGTAAACACATTACAAAAGTGATACATTCATGAATTCAGGATAAAAAAAAATCATTTATGCTGGATTTTATGGGGGAGAATGTTGTAGACCACTCTATGTATATTCTTTTAACATTGGAGCTCAACTACCAATGATACCAAAAATGGCACTGCTTGTGCCATTTAAAATGTATCTGGGTTTATTTAAAAAGCAACAGTTGGGGATACCAGTTATAAAAACAGATTACCATAGCATATTAATTTGCGTATATAATTTTATTCTCTGAACAATATGATTAGGTTAAATGTTAGTATTCCCATTAACAGGTAGGGGAAAGAATGCCAGAGAGCAAAGTGAATTGTCCTTGGTCATAAGATTAGTCGTGCAGGCAGAGCTGTAGCCAAAGCATTCAGGAAAATATCAGGCATTTCCGGGAAAATATCAGGCTCTTCACTACGCAGAAATGAAACTACACTTCCCTCCTGCTTAGGCTAAGAAGGACAAGGACAACCCTTAACCCGAATAGTACATTCACCAATGGGACTGAAGTTATTTAACCTCTCTGTGACTCAGTTTCCACAACTGTAGAATGGGGATAATTTCATTATTTTGAAGATTGAATGAGTCAATGAAAGGGCTTGAACAAGTGAGGATAATGAATGTCACTGAACTGTCACTTAGAAATGTTTAAAATGCTAAATTTTAGGTTATATATATTACTACCTATAAAAATGAAAAACAAACTGAAGATTCATTTCATAAAAATTTTAAAAAGCTGAAGGTTTTTATACTGAAAAGTAACAATGTGTGTAATGTTTAGTAAAATTAATAGACAGTATAAGGCATGAAAGTGAAAACTAAAAAATAAGCATTAAAGTAGAATCGGAAAGGGAATGACGCAGGCACTGGAGCAAACTATTCTCTTGGCCTAAAATGGGACATTAACTTTGATCTAAGAGGTTTCTTACATGATTTAATTTGGTACAGTTAGCTGTTGTCTAACACTGCGACCCACATATGTAAATCCGGAGTCATGATGACATAAAGTTTGTGTAAGAATTGTTTAATGGCCATACTACAATCTAACCAGATTTGTAACTACCTAAATATACTTTCAAATTTAAAAGTTCTCTAAACTCAACCATTTTATTTGCCTTTAATTTTTAAAAAGAATGCAAAATTTTCACCCCACCAAAATACCTTTTAAAGGTAAATAATAATGCTGCTTCACCAATCAATGTCTGCAGTTTTGTTTATGGTTAAATAATACATTGCTAATGGAGGTGTTTCCTTAACCACAACATTTTCCCGCTTTTCTCACTGCCATTAATAATGTATTACTCTGTCATCTCTCCCTCTCTATAGTAAAGGAGGGGGAGAATGTACCCTTGAGGGACAAAAGTATAAATGCTCCCACCAATTAGAATCAGGGAAGTGAACTAAAAATGAGATTCACTGTTAGAAACATCTCTTCCCTTTTCTGACTCTGGCTTAGGTACTTAACAAATGTACAAGTATTCCCCATATTAAGAGTAAGGACATTACAAAATTGTTAATCCTGGGAAGGCTCAGTTATAGAATTCTGACATTCCTTTGAGGCATGTGTTTATGGATGAACTCTGTATCCTCTTCAGTTTAGAAAATGTCAAAGTCCACATGTCAAATGGGTATTCTATCCCACCTTATAAAATGGTGTATAAAAGTTGGTCCAAAAATAAGTCCTAATTTGTTTTCATTTCTATCTACATCCCTCCATCCCCTTTAACTAATTCTAATGTTGCCACTTTTTTACTCAACATTTATTGAATCATGTTTAATAGATTTGAATCACTTTTCGCTCTGGGATTCAAAATATTGCTTTGTTTATATAGTTAATTAGAGAATAAAATGCTTTACAAAAACAGGGATAGTTGCATTTCTCCAAATTACTGTAATGCTGTAAGTAATGCTGTGAGTCGAGGTAACTCAAGAGGAGACCTCCAATCCTAACTAGGCACGAGCGGTAAATGCACAGGCTCGACTCTTGTTCCTGGATGCCTAGTTCCAACACGACACTCTCACACAGAAACCCTGCACACCCAACCAACATGGAAGACCCACCAGCTCTGCGACCTGTAAATTATGTTAAGACTTACCAAAGCCAGTAAACATCTTTTCAAGGTCCCCATCCTTTAATTCCTCGGGTAAAAAAAAGAAGTCTGTTTGGTCAAACCCAAACATCTGGACACTATCTATCTACCTGTATCATATACACCTACTGTAATTTTTGTGATTGTATGCCATCACATACATAAGGAAAACTAAGTTACAAAGCTACTGACCAAACATGCAACAAAAACGTAAGAAATTAAAAAGCAACCCAACCCAACATTAACTTAAAATGCATAAGCTCTGCCTTTTGACTAAGTACTACGCAGATTAGTTGGATAGCCCCATCTGAAGCTTCCAAGGGTTTACAAAAAAAATGCAGGTGGTGCAGAGTAGCAAAGAGTTCAGTAAATTAAGATTTCAAGGTCTCTAAGATGCAAGTGACAGCTGGCTCCCGGAAAGAAAGGGGCAGGCACAAGCAGGAGCGGATGTCGGAGGCCCCCAGACTAGAAGGAATAGAGCTGGGCCGCTCCCAAGAACAGAGCTCGTCGGAGGATTCAAAACGGGCTAGCGGGTATCTCCTGGGCTGGGGAAGTCGGCCAGCCTGGCCTCCGTCCCCGCCAGGAATACCCCTGTACACAACGGGGGCTCAGACCCAAGAGCTAAGGCCTACTGGGCAGCGGCCTGGGGCTGCGGGCTGCGGGCAGCGCCAGACATTCCGGAGCAGGAGTCCACAGGGAATCGGGACCGGGAAAGAGTGGAAGGAAAGCACCGACGGACAGCAGGGGCCACAGGGCTCGGGCCCGGCCTCACCCTCGCATGGTGAACTTGACCACGGCGAGCCTGGAGCCCGCGCCGCTTAGCTCCGGCTGGAAATCCGGGTCGCTCCCGACCGGCTTCACTCCCACCATTCTCAGAGGGCCTGCAAAGGAGGCTGCGACACCAGGGGCTTCGAAACTGAAGACGCCGACCCGGGAGAGGAAGGTCGGGGCCTGGACAGCGGTAGCGACCACGAAGCTTCTCCCGGGGATCACAGTGCCGAGTCACGCCAGGGAGCGGAGCGGCGAGGGGGCGGGGCCGGGGCGGGGGAGGAAGCGGCGAGAGAAGATACGGCGCGCAGCCCCCAGCAGCCACCGCGCTGCAGGGCCAAGGGCGCCTGCGCCGCTTGACGTCATTTCCGCGCCGTCAGTTTTGGCTCCCATCGCCCAATCAGAAAACGTAAGCCATGGCCCCATTCAACAGAGGAGCCCAGCGCTCTAGACTGGCGCAGGCGCAACTAGTAGCAGTCACACGCTCAGGTGTGGAGTGCGTGAGGGTGGGTCGTGTATTCCTCCGCGGTTGCAAGACCCGGAGCTTTTACCAAGGAGTTTCTTGGGGTAGGAAAGTGGGGAGGGAGTTCCTTCTTCTCCGGGTTCTTGTTTTAAGTATCGCCAGCACCCTCACCCCAGAAGTACTATGTGGGTAGTCTTGTCCCATATTCTTGGCAAGTGGCCGCACTAGACAAAGTAGATTTTAGGAACAGTGATTCACGGGTCTCATAGTACCTGGTTGTTCTCTGCAGTTACACAGGGGGAAAAAAAGGTTATTTGCTTGTCCTTAAGTTATGTTTAAAAAAGAAAGAAGAAAAAATACCGTTCCTCCTTTATGGACTTAAAGTTTAGTGGTAGACGCAAACGGTGGTTACAGTGATAAAGAAGTTTGCAAAGAAAACGGTGGGGACCAATGAAAAAGGAGGATGGGGGCAGGGTAAACATGCTGGGAGACGGGGCGCCTGCACCGAGTATTGACAAAAAAGAAAAGGATAGCCAGATGCTGAGAGATGACGGGTATTTCAGGCAGAGGGACCAGGAGTGCTAATGCATGGGTCGAGAGGGCCAATGATAACAATAATAGCTAGTATTTAACAAATTATGTGTCAGTTAAGATACAAGCTCGTTGTGTGTATTAGCTCTCTTAATCCTTACAATAACCCTGTGAAGTAGATTCTGTTATTCATGTTTAGACACCCAGTTAAGTTTACACACCTATTTGGCACACCTAAGAGAGAAGTCAAGCTTTAATTCAAGTTAAGGCAGCCTAACACCAGCAAGCCCTTTTAAATACCAGACTGACAAGTCAAATGATTTGCTTTTAGCCTTAGCTGGGGAGATGAAATTGAAGGTGGCAGTCAAATCTTGACTCGTTAAGAAATTTGCATTTTAACCTAAAGGCAATGGAGTAATCACTGCAGGGCAATTTTGTGGTTACAAGACCCTAAGGTAGCAGTAGGGAGGATGGGAGGTGATGAGATTCGGTTTAGGAGATTACTGTAGTAATCCAGGCACTGGGCTGGGAGCAGCTGCATTGGAAATGAAGAGGGAATAATATGTTTGAGAAACAATGAGAAGATTAAAGCCACGAGCGTTAGTGACCAGTTTGGACCAGTTTAGTGAGATGACAGGAGGGAGTCTAGAGTAACACAAATATTTCAATGTGTGGCTCTTTACTGAGTTATGATGCATGTGGGACATCCAGGTGAGTATACAGTAGATAGTAGCAAAGAGGAGTCTAAAACTAAAGAAAAAGGAGTGCGTTACAATTATAGCTTTGACAGTCATGAGTCTGGGGAATAATTGAAGCCCAAGAAGTATGAAAAGACAAGGCTAAGGGTGCTCCAGAAACATAAAATAACTGTTCCTAACAAGCGAGCCACAGCAGAGCCACAGTAATTAACATTCCTTTCTCATGTGATACCAGCACAATGTGATGGCTTTAGGACTTCAAACAATGAGTTTGTGGGGCTCACAACTCAGTACGTTGTAGCAGATGGATTATTATTATTCCTAATGGTTCTCCCAGTTTTGCCTTAAAAACAAACAGAAACAGTATCTATGGAGATAACTATAGTAAATATTCAGAGGGGATTGTGAAAGCAAGACTTTAGAAATCTGTAGATTCCTGAGGAGCGAGATACAAAAGAAGCATTAGAAAAAATTAGACCTGACTGGGCAATTTTGTTATTTATTTTCCATGTGTCCCTTCCCATCCACTCTCAACCTTTCTTCACCCTGCTTTTAGTTCCAGAGAGCTGACCCATAAGGACTAGATCAATAGGATGCCTTGTTGGAGATTCTTTTGGGAGGTTGAAGGGTACAAGAGAGTGAGATCCAGTTACTAATTCTGTCAGCTCCCACCCACTGTGTTGCCACAGATTGTGTCTACCAGAGGCCACCACTCCTGTCCAGCGACTCTTTGTATCATTAACCTTCAGGTTCCTAGAACCACTGTCTTCCCTTGTCCCTGCAGACCTGGAAGTAGGATCACTCCCGCAGTGGGTAGCACGTTGCACATAATCAGCAGAAACACTAGCCTCCAAAATCCCAGATCTAGGATATCCCAGAGGAAGCAGAGGTATGTGGAAGCTGGAACCCTTAGATAGGCTTTTTTTTTTTCCTTCTAGATTTGTATAAGCCATCCAAAAAACTCCATTTCCTGGAATTGTCATAAAAATTTTAGGAAAAAACGTACAGACCCTAACACACAGGTGGCAAACACAAGGCCTGCGGGCCCAACTCTTGTTTTATCCGACCTCGCACCTTATTTCTAACCTGCAGCAGCGCCGAGCTCTCACTTAACTGGTGAGCAGTAGTTACATTTCTACAGTCCTAAACCTACATCCACTCCTTTGAAGACAACCATGGGGCTAAAATGAGTTTGACACCCTGCGCCTAACACCTCTACAAGGATAACTTGTGATTATTCTTAAGATGGATGGTACGCTCTCTCCATTTCTGAGACCAACATTCAGAAATGCCCAGCTGCTGCACATCAACTGCCCCTCCCCATTCCTCTAGTGGCTGTGACAAACATCACTATTCTGTGCGATCGGTTCCCAGAGTCTGTCTAGACTCAGCCTGAGAATTCCATTCGGCAGCACCCACAACCAGTCAGCACTCAAGATGAGCCTGTCTGCCATCTCACACTTTACTGTAACCATCGGTCCCTGAAGTTCATAGTTCTTGAACTGTGGTGAGTTCATTGAAACGTGGGTGCTTGACTTCACACCCAGAGGTTCTGATTCAGTAGAGCCGGAGGATGGCCCAGAAATCTAAATTTTCACAAGCACCTGGAGTAGCTGATGCAAGCGGTCCATATTTTGAGAAGCATTATTTGGTGATAACTTGCTTGCTGTTATGTTTCAGTGCTATTTATGTGCACTTATGTACAAGGAACTGTGATAATGCTTTGAAACACCACTTCTCCAGGGATATTAAAAGGGAGATACAACACTTCTGCAAAAGTTAATTATATGAGTTAAAATGTGGCAAATGGATAGCAGAAATATAGGTAGCATACCACAGTAGTTTAGGAAAAGGAGAGAAAATTTTCATCAGGAATGAGCAAAGAATTTTTTATGAAAGACAATGCTCTAGACCGTAGATAGAAAATAGATGGGGGGGGTAAGAATAGTAGGGGAAATATAGAACTTAAAGAACTTGAGACATGTGGTCATAAACTAGAGGGGGGGAGTGGTGGAGGAGGGGTATGCAGGGTGGAGGGGAATGAAGGGGAAGAAATAGAATAGCTGTAATGGCATAATAAAAAAAAAGACAATGCTCTAATATTCAGGTATAGATAAATATAAACAGAAAATGAATAAATTTCCTCACTTCACAGAAGTGCACCCTACTTTTCTTTTAAGTCATTAAGCAGGTAATTTATTTCAGACTCACCCATTCTTACCAAGTTCAGCCAATAAAGAGAGGAGGACTTTCTATTGTGACATATAGCTGCCATGGGTTCATGCTGAGGATTTTACAAACAGATATGTTGGAGATATGTCATATGTGGCTTTTTTCTCTCCCATTGTCGTTTGCACATAGTAGGTACAAAATAAGCATTGGTTGAATAAATGAATGACTAGGAAGCATAATGAGTGTGAATCTCAGACCACAAAATCAGATGTACAAAAAATATTATTTTGCATCATAAGTCAATCTCATTTTGATTCTGAATCCCCACCCTCCTGCTACATCCAACTACAATAAAAACTTAACCTCATGTCCACTCTGTCTGCCTCAGAAACTGTATCAAGTTTCTGGGTTCAGAGTGCAGTGGGCTTTGGAGTGCAAATCCCTGGGTGTCTCTGTCTACACCTACCCTTTACAAGTGGATCCCTGTGGGGGAGCTTTGCCTGCAGATCCTCCCCCAACCCACCCACCATCCACCACAGATGAGAATAAGTCTACCAAGACGTGATCTGCTTGGGGAGGAAAGCAGGCTGAACTTTCAAAGGGGAAGGGCCAGGAGCCTTTTCCTCAATGAGCTCTTATTGGGTTCAATTTGCACAGGAATACAGGTAAAGCTCATCAATCATTGTCAGGCAGTAAGGATCAAACAATAGATAACATACAAAGAACTATGAGGGCTTATTCTGAATCTGGGTCAGTTAGCTAAAGAGCTATAAAACTTTGGGAAACAAACTGATTTCAGGCTTGGACCCTTATCAGAAAATTGAGGGCATTCTTATCAAAGCAGGTTTCACTGGATTTTATGCATTCTTTCTTAGGCCTGATTGCCTCAAGGAAGTTCCGTTTCTGCCCCGGGCTGCATCACCCTCAGGCATTGGGGGCGCGAGTAAGGCAGCCAAGAGACTAGGAGACTTCTTGCAGGCAGAATGAGGACTCAGGCTATGTCAAAGCTGAGGGGTGAGGGTCCATCACCCCCTTTTTCTATATCTCCCCAAGTTCTTCCCTGAGGGCTCCTTTGTGACCATGCCTACCTTAGGTCCTGCCTCCCTTGAGAGGAATCTTACCCATCATTGGCTAACTCATCATCTGCTTGGGGACAAGTAAAGTGGTCAGAGATGCCACCCCTGATAGGGAGATAAGCTTTGTCTCCTTAGTGGCTTATTGTCTCCAAGGTCACTTACTCAGCCTTAGCCACGGGGGTGGGTGGGGGGTTTACAGCTTCTGAAACCAGGCAGGGCTGTTCCCAACAGATCCCTCTCTGCTTCCTGTGACTACTTCAGGGGCTGGGCCTCTTTGCGGTTGCCTAGGGACCCATCTGCCTAGATGCACTAGTCTGACATTTCTTCCCTCCACTTCAAGGAACCA